CCCAACCCGTGGCTGCGGAAGTCAACGAGGCCAGACAGGTGGCACGTGGCTGTTGGTACCACGAGTCGCCCAGTGCTACTGCAACTGAGTGAACTCTATGAATCAGGGAGAGGGCCTTCATTCAAACAGAGGCCCCGAAACCACGGAGGGGCCATAAAGAGTCCTATTCCGTCAAGATTCCTATGAGGTCAAGGAATCTTGGTTAAGCGAGCATACCGTATGGCCAGATGCTTCCTGACGCAGTGGGCTATCGCGCGCGTAGCACACGAGTGCAAACGGCCGAAAGGATTCGAGGTGACGAAGTACCACAATTTGTTATGAAAGCAATGCCCCTGCATTAAATAGGCACAACGACCATCACCAGAACGGCCTAACTTCGCAAGGCGACGACGTCCATGACACCAATGAGATAACCTGGAACCCGTTGGGAACAAAGACCTACCATCTCCTCAACACTCATCGCCGGATGTACGAAATCAACAGCATCGAGGTCATTACGGTGCGCCAATATGTGGGCAGACAACGGGGCCCGAACACGATTGAGGCATCCAAGAATGTCCGGTGACTTCCCAGACGGTTCATGGCCTCCAAACAGCCGCAGCGTCGTGAATGCATGGTAACCCCGGCACCTAGTGTGGCATTCCGCCAATTATGACGTCTGAGGGTCACCCCTCCCTCCGAGAGCGCAGTGGCAAAACAATACACACAATGACGCTGTAATCCGTGACCTTACCCAGCACTGAAATATGACAGAATGTTCCACATTGATCACGGGACAATCTAACGAATTAAGGTATTAAAGACTTGGAACATTGTCAAGAAAGATGTTGATTAAAATAACCCATTCTGAGAATTCCGAAAGCCTACCATGGAAATTTTGAAGCAATTCTTGCGAACAAAAAAGATTGCTCTTCCCATCCAAAGCGGTCGACGGCTAAAATGGAAGGCGACAATCGATGGACGGTCGCATAACCCAAGGTCATATCGTTCATAACGCGCAAGATTCCCACCCAAAATAGGCTGTCGTCATTGGCGGTAAAGGCTCGACGACTGCTTGCCTCAATGAAACAGAAACGCACGAGGCAAAACAAACACGAGGAAAGCGCCATCGTAACTAAAGCGTAACGCCCGTAGTTTTACACACCCTCGGTTACCAACGTCTCCGAAAATCTGAGCTGGTCACGTACCCTGTTATTGAGCATCACAGAACAACTATCAGTCCATTCATAGCTGTATTGTACTTCAACTGTGTTTCCGCAAATATCTGCGTTTCTCACATTTTTTTTATCCTGTGCATGCAACCAGATCACTCGTTTTTTGTAAAGTCATGCGGCCCCCAGTGCTTCGAAGAACTCCATGACTTTCTTCCGTTGTTCATCGAGGGACTCATTTCGCGATCGCCTCCACGCTGAGGGCTCCAGTTCCAGCATGCCACCGATAACCTCCTCCGCGAATGTGGCCGGAAACAGCTCCTCGTCCTCCACCACGTGGGCGAAGCCGGGCTGCAGTCCGAAGTCCACGAAGAAGTACGGCAAGCCCTTTGGCACAGCTCTGCGCACATCACGACCACGCAGGTCCACCACCTTCTTGTTCTGGCTCCACTCGGTCTCGCTCTCCTCCAGCGCCTTCTTGAAGTAGATCGGCGCCAGGTCGCCGCTTTCCGCGCGGCACCGGCACCGCCTGCAGCACCGCGTGCGGGTACGTGCGTAGCTTCACCGCGCTCTCGAAGAACACCACGTCCTGCTCCATGGTGGCGAACATGGCCACGAGCGCAGCGCGGAACCGTTGTACCTCCTCCCAGGCGTCCTCGTCCAGGTCCAACCAGGCTGGTGACGTGCTGCTTGCGGCACCAGCAGGCAGTGGCCGGCCGTCAGCGAGCGGCCGGCAGGCAGCGCCAGGTAGCTCTTGGCGCCCAGCGCCGCGATCAGGTGGCGCAACGTGCGCCGGCTGTCCAGGCAGCGGTCCGCAGCGCTCAGCACCGCCGTTGCTGCGCCAGCGCGCGCGCCGCCTGCCGCTCGTCCTCGGCCAGCGCCGGCTGGGCGCGACCGGCGCGCTCGGCCAGCACGTCGTCGAGGCCGTGGTCGTCGTCGAGCCGCTGACGGACGCCACCGGCGGTCAACCGCGCCAGTGCCGCCGCCTCGTCGGCCGGCGTGGTGCGGCCGCTCACGCTCGAACATGTCGCGCAGCTGCAGCCGGTCGTCGTCGGCGAAGTACTTGGTGCGCTCGGCGCCGCGGTGCGTGTCCGGCTTCTGCCGCTTCGAGGGCCGTTCGCTGGTCGGCGCACGCGTCCCCTTGCCGACGACGATCACCACCTGCTCAGCGGCGGCGCGGCTCGGCCCGACGGTGGCGCGCAGCCGCCGCGCCGCGTCCAGCTGCCGCTGGCAGCGTCGCCACCACATCGTCGTCGCCGTTCAGCTCGGCTTTCAGTATTTTGGCGGCTAGCGCGTTCATCTCCCCGTCCGTCAGTGGCTTCGCGCTTCCAGAGCTGTCCCTGTCCGTTTCGCCGGAGTTGGGGCTGTCGTCAGCAGAAGTGGGAGAACTCTGTACACGGGGCAGGTCACGCGGCGGGGAGCCGCCTCTTCTCTCGGCCTTTACCCCGATGCGAGAATCACCTGGTGAGGTCGCGGCCGTTTTGCTCCATCCACATTTGGACCCCCCGACGTCGGACCCTCTTTCCCTTCATCTCTGTCAACACTGTACCGCTTTTGTTCGCCCGAGTTAGGGTCGTCGTACACGTCAGGTTTTCGCCTACCGGGGCTTATGCTTCTTCGCTCCCTAGTCATGCTTGGTGTTCTATCTGTGCTCTTCGTTCGTCTTCGCTCACTGCTTCCACTGCGCCGCCTTTCGCGACGTCTGCTTCGTCTTCGCTCTCTGCTCCTGCTCCGTCTTCTTTCAGAGTTGGTACTGCGCTGCTTTTCTTGACTCCCATTTCGACTCTTTTCTCGGCTCCTGCTCCGTCTCCGCTCTCTGCTCCCGCTCCGTCTCCGCTCCCTGCTCCTGCTTGGTCTCCGCTCCCTGCTCCTGCTCCGTCTCCGCTCCCTGCTCCTGCTTCGCTTCCGCTCCCTGCTCCTGCTCCGACTCCGCTCCTGGCTTCTTCTGCGCCTCCTTTCATCCCCACCGCCGGCCCCGTCCTTGGTGCGGCCGCGTCGCCAGCCCCTGGCGCCCTGAGCTGGCCGCTCGGCGGCGGCGCCGGCCGCCGGCCCGGCCGCGCTCCTCCGCTCGGCCGCGTCCAACATTGCCTGCAGCTTCTCCATGGAGCCCCAGCGCTCGGCCACCACCTCATCAAGCGGCCGGCCCTGGTCGGCCGCCTGCTGGCGGGCGCGCTCGAGGGCGCGGCGCAGCCAGCCGGCGCCTCCGTCGCCCACCGGCCGCGCGGCGGCCGGTGGGTCACCCGGGTCACGCCACTTGAGCGCCTCGTACGCCTGCTGGCGCTGGCGCTCCTCCTCGGCGCGCGCCTGCTGCTGCTTCGTCTGCCGGCGCCGGTCGCGCACCTCGCCGGAGGTAACGCCCGCGAACAAGCCCTCCACGCTCATCCACTCGTCGCGCTGGGGCTGAGTGGCGTCGGAGGGCGACGGCGGCGCGCCGGCCGGAGCAGCGGCCGAGTGCTGGGTGCCGCTGGCTGAAACGGCCGCCGCTTCCGTCGCGCCGGCCGGAGTGGCGGTGGGCTTCTCGACCCACTGGTCGCTGCTGCTGCTGTCACTGCCTGGGCTCGAATTGCGCTGCTTGTGCTTCTTCTTCTTCTTTTTCTTCTTATGTTGCTTGTCTTTGTGCAACTCCGCTTGGGCGCTAGGAAACAAGCCAACATATTGCTTGCCTTTGTCTGTTGATGTTGCTATGTCCATTTTGATCAAGCTGTCTACACAAGCAATGGGTGCTTCTTGTAGTTCTTTCCAGGAGCCAATCTGTCAAGAAAAGAGAACACAAATGTTTGTAATTGATGGCATATGATTAAATGATCACAAACCATACCAGCACATCATGCAATGCTGTCTAATTCTGAAACATGTCAGAAAAGACCATGACATTAAACTAGTTATATCTAACTAATGGTACCTAAGTGCTGGGCTTCTCTCAATTATTTGTTGCAATGAAAGTCAGCTTCTGCAAGCTTAGTGCATGTGCATGAATGTGGGTATATATCAACTCAATTTTTCAGAGCCAGCATTCTTGTGCATTAGAGCAGCTGTACTTTTTGCTGGGACAAACAACATAATTGTCTACCCTAGTATTTCATTTGTGTGTGTGTCCCTGGCACTTAACAATGTGCACTGCTGATGCTATATGTTATTGCCCACCCCCCACACCCACAGGATTGTTCTCTTCAACTTTATCTTGAGTTTGCATTGTTTGCTGCAAAGTGTCAGTGTTATATGCATAAATTTGGTGTCCTGTGAAGTGTGCCAGCGCAGATACAATGTAAAAGTTTACTATATGGGAGGTATTCAGAATACATTTTCTGGCATGCTATGCATCATATAGTTTTTTGTTGTTGAAAATTGTGGGAACTCCCCAGTAATTGCCTATAGCTCACCAATATCAGCTGTGGAAACAAGGTAACATGTTTACACAGATCCTGGCTGCCACAACATTACTTCCTTGAAATGCCAGTCTGCATTCCCACTCATGCAACAACAGGTGGGAATACAGCACCAGATTGGCTATTCAGCAGGTTTATGCTCAATTTCACATAAACACAGTGACTTCCAAGCCAAACAAAATCAAATGACGCTGTAAGTTTGTGTGCTTCACAATTAATGTCCAAATGTGCGCGATAATCTAGATCTGACTTGGACAGTCAAATGTGCTGAATCTGATGAACTCAAAGCATGTTTTCTCAGTGGGAAAGCTAGTGAGGGCGGGTACAAGAGTCATCATCGACATTGGTCCATAACCCTGAAATGTCTTATCATTCATCAACTGATGTTTTCAAGGCATCAGACACCATACATCATCACACAAATGTTTTAGCGAAATCTTATCACTTAAACTTCAAAATATGATTACGAAAGCAACCAGAGACGTCGGTGGCACGCACGACTATCTAACGTGTCGCGCGTGACATCGGTCACACCTGGTAGCCTGCTACTTACTCTTAGCTTTACTCCATAATCACCCCAATAGCATTCATCCACACGTCTGCCCCTCGCACTGATGGCACGATACTGACGCATCAAGGCCGTCCTGACGAATCAACTAGCTTTTGTGTTTTCAAGGTGCTTTGAGTACTGGTTGTCGATTGATTGATGTGGCAATTAAATATGACGTCATAAGATAGTTCGAATTTTGGCATGAAATTTGATATTGGAAGCCGACAGGACGATGGCATTCAGTAGGTTGGCTGGAGAGGTTGGTGAGTTAGGTTAGATTAGGTTAGGATAGGTAAGGCTAAGTTAGGTAAGGCTTCGCTAGGTTAGGTTAGGTTAGGTAAGGTTAGGAATGGTCAAGTTATGTAATATAAGATTCTTATCCTTTTCCTACTTTTCTCGTGAGGCCCTTTTCGCGGAGGGTAATTACAGGTAACCTGGCCTTCGGTCTCGCTTTTACAAGTCGTTAAAAAATCTCACTTCGTGCCGCTCCATCTTGACTTGTGGTGCATTATCGCTTGCCAATGGTTGGAGGCCAGAATAACGACATAGCGTTTATTCCCTGCCCCATCAACCGTTCACTGCTCCCAGGCTCCGACGCTGTGAGGTTGCCGAGCCCGGTTGCACGCGTCAAAACCGACTCGGAACAGCCACACCCTGGACTGTGCGTTGCCACTCTCTGAAGCGAGCGCCGACAGTTTCAAAAGAATACTATTAAAAAGCCACGTCAGTTTTGCCGGTATTTGTAGCTGGACCACGCCAGGTTACTGCTCCAGCCTGCCGGATGTTCCAACCGCGACAAGCCGCTCCACCACCGGCGGCGCCGCGCGGGCCGGAAGCCGGGCGGCGCCGACGGCCTGTCGCGGCTGCTGTCGTCGGGAGTGCGGCTCCGTGTCGGGGCGTCCCTGGGCGAGCGTCCGTCAGCCGCGCCGGCTCCAGTCATTTGCCCCCACTCGGCGCGTGACTCGGGGTCGCGACGACCGTGGCGTGTCGACCCTCGTCGCCGCCAGGAGTAATTGGAAGGCGCGGCTGGGCGGGCCGAAATCAGACCGCATCTGTCGCGAAGCCCTGCCCTGCAGCGGCCGCGGACCGCCTGAAGCGGCGGGGAACGGGCGCACGGTGTCGATGAGTCCTGCCGGAGCCAGCGGCCGGTCCTCCGCACTCGGAGGCGCGTCACTGAGGTACGGTGGTGCATCGTTGCATCAGCCATCCTATCGTCCCTATGGCAACAGCGGAGGAGGCCCCGAGACATGTCAGCGATACGGTGTCTTAGAACGCTGCGGCTGCTTTTCGGTGTTCATACAAGTGGCGAGTGTAACACTCGAGTTGGTAAAGACCGTCTGACGCAAGCGTGCAGTCAGTGATGGACTATTTGCTGCGCCGTTGTTTGTATGCAAACGACTGTTGCTTGTTAATTTTGTCAGAACATTCACCATCTCCTGAGAAATAGTTTAGCGGTCGGTGAAAGGGAATGAAAAGGAGCCATTTGGTGATGCAAAGAAATTGCGCGGGAATGCCAGCCACTCCGACAAGCTCAGCGTGGTAAGTCCACCTGCACGAATGCATCTTGTTACGAATGGCAACTTCACAGCAGAAAGTAGACCAATGGGGGTTGACCGTTACAAATACGATTTAAAAAAATCAACGACGTTGAGTGTTCGTTACCCTTGCACAGCGTCGTTGATTATATCGGTTCTAACCTAGCTAGAATAAGACTTCTTTTGCTATCAGACCCACTTTACCTGCTTGGTATACATTGCTGGATTTAATGTTTCACTGAGGTCCGTGGTGGGGCAGCATAACAGTCCTACTAAGCGCCATGTAAGCTTGTCGACTTAAGCTTACGTTGGGACTACAGAAGACGTTCAACGTGGTTCAGACCCGCGGTCGAAAGCGCATTTTCACGAATCTACAACTATATAAAATCCGAGCTATGGAACGTTAGACATCCACTCAATGGGTTGGTCGCGTAAATCATGGTCCGACCCTCTGTCCTCGGACAGGCCTGTTCGTTCCAATTATCGGGTCGATATCCCAGGCACCACGTATTGGTGACGCCCAGTGCACAAAGGTCATGGGACGGATTTGGACTATCCCGACATCTTACACGAGTAACCCGTTTCGTTTTGCTCGAAATCATCACGGGTCGACTCGTTCGGGTCGCTGTTGTATCTGGATCTGTTAGACCGGAGAGGGTTCACCGTCTCTGTTTCAGTCCTATCGACGTCGAGAACCAGCCGCGGTTGCACCATTACCCTAATCAAAAGGCTACGATGGGTATTGAAAACACTGCCCATCAGTGATAATGAAACTCAGGACTCGTTGGCCCGTCAACCTCACATTCCATCACAGATGTTGAATCTAATGCGACGACCACGGCGCGGATGGATGGATGCCTGAAATGACACGGTTTGCTTAACGTTGGGTAAGCAATTTGCTAATGGAGATCCATTAGGCAGTTCGCAGCTACTGCGCTGAGGTTTATAAAACACCTTTGATGTTGAACGAAACGCCACACTGCAGCCGTGGCGTTAGAGCGCTAACTCACATTGCAACGCTCGCAGCCTCCCCCACTCCCCCCGGATAAATCCCAGACATCAGTGATGAAGTCATTGATGAAGCCAATTAGACACCGGCGGAAGCGATGCTCTGGGCAGCTGGTGCCGTCGGTGGAGAGCGCCACGTGATCGGCTGGGCCGTGCGGCGCCGATCGACAACCGAGCGGGCTTCCCCATGTGTTCCCATCCTCGCCTCTGACAACAGAAGTTCGACGCGCTTGGCCGAGCACGGCCGCCTGACAGACGCGCTGTCAGCCTGCTCCGCCTCCGCGCGCACAAAGAGCTGCCCGGGACTCTCTGTGACGTCGCTCCGGCAGACGTCATCGGTTTAGTGTTACGGTTATCTGACCGGGCCACAGTCGTTCACCAGGGAGTAGTCGGCGGCCGGAAGAGCCTCACTTGGACAGTTGCGCTGTCTAAATATCTGAAATAGACTTAGTGCTTCAAATAGAAGTATCGACCCAGTTCTTGTGGTTCCATGACGTAAGTGCTACAACAAAAACTCTCGCCTACAGCAGTGTTACGACATAACTTCTGCTATCGATAGTCATACACATTAGCGCTACGCGACAAAACATATACTGCAAAAGCTTATGCTCGTGGTTACTTGTA